GTATGGTGACAGTCTAAGGTATGGTGGTGACCTCGGGTATGGTGGCTTGAAGGTTAAGATTGATGTGACCTTCCTGAGGAGCAATGGTGTCCTGGGCAGGGTTTTGTGAGAGTAAATTAAAGTTTTATTCGTGGTTGATGCTAGTGAGTTTTGCCTTCGTGGGACATACTGGGTAGATGATAGTAAGAATGTCCTGTTAAATGTTTAAGTTGCTTTCTGGACAGCCACTTGTTAATACTAAGTAGCAATGATGTTTAATTCATGCAATGTATAATCGTGTATTTAAAAATTACTTTTATAGGGGTCTTTGTAGTATGGTTGGTTAGTTTTGTTCTCGCCTCTCAGTCAGGAATCCTGGGATCGAATCGTGGGGTGGGACATGAATAGCTGGGCAAGTTTACTTTCACGTCTGTTTTCTTTTCTTTTGCCTTTGTTCACCTAGCAGTAAATAGGTTCCCAGGAATTAGACAACTGTTGTGGAGATGCATCCTGGGGAGGGTCAGTAGTTCGGTCTTGGGGGAGGGGGGACCTCGATATTAATCTAATGTATACATATACTGACTGCCTGTCCCTGGACAAAATGAATTATTGTTGCTCGATACAGCACGGCCTCATATTTCCAGAGTACGTGCTCGATCCCCTGATGGTCCAAATGGTTGGTCACTGTCTTTATTTTGGCCTTGTATCCCAGCTCCTTGTCATTATATTTCAACCAATTGCTGTACAGCCACAATACTGGCTTAGCACTTGTTCACCTTGCATCAAACTGAAATTTGAAATATTTCTATTGTGCAGTAATTTTCAAGACACTGAATCTTGTAATCAGAAGAGTAGGTGAACTCATTCCAATACAAAATGTGGCCAGGTGGAGTATTTCACAGGCATCTTTAGCAGAGGGTGATTAAAATAGAAGTTAAGAGTACAGTACTGAATATGCATGTGTGGATGATGAGCTCATCTAGATGCGCAAAGATTCTATTCTCAAACATTTAAATAGTGTTTACATAAACTATTTAGTATTGAGCTAGTTTTTACTGATGTCACATCGATGGTCAACCATCAGCTGATAGGATGTTTTTTTTTGTATTTTTTGTAACTGCTATGTAAAGTAAATATACAGTGTGTGTGTGTGTGTGTGTGTGTAAGTGTAATATCTATCTATATCTCTCTAGCTAGCTTATAGCAGGGGGTGGAATCATTTTGAGAGCAAGTTCTCAAACTGGCAATAATCTAAAAGATTATCTTGCATGCCCATGGTAATATTGAGCCACAGACTATAATTCTTGTTATTATATTTGTATTTTACCCTTTTTTATGGAGAAAAATAACAACATGCTTGAAAATATTTTTAGAGAAGTCTGTAGCACTCACTGCATACAGCTTTATGAATTTTATATATTAAGAACTAATAATTTCCAAAAAGTAAAATTAGTGAATTAATAATTTTTTTTTTTTTTTAAGGCAAATAGAGTTCTGCTGCTTATTTACTGTATATTTATTGTTTAACTATTAACACTTTCGTCCGCTGGGGACGGAGTTTGTGTCTATTAATAATCTTACGTATGGTGGGCGGGGATGCATGTTGTGTCCAAAATTAAAATATTTGTTTAAATTCCATTTATTGTTTGATTATTATGGAACTAGTTTTAAAATGGGCACCTTTAGATTGCGAACAATTTGATACCAAAATGAACGACGTAGTTTGGAAATTGAGGTCGGAACACTGGAAAGAGTATATATATGTTAGTGTGGGTGCACACTCCTGGGAAATGCCAGGCCCACCTTGGGGTGAAGGGAAAGTATTAACAAAAGTACAATGGGGCCTCGACTTACGATGCTAATTCGTTACCAGAGACGATTCATAAGCTGAAGCGATTTTTTCCATAAGAAATAAAGGGATTTGGATTAATCCGTTCCCCACCCTCCAAAATATTAACATAAAAATACATTTTATACTGAATACAATGTTTTTTCCTAACTACAATACAGTACCTAAGTTTATCTTACCTTTATGGAGGGCTCTTGATGGCATATGGAAGATGGTGATGAGAGGGGAGGAGGAGAGTTGTTACTGTTTGGAAGGGGAGTCCCCTTCCATTATCACATCAGGCAGTGATGTTTTCTCTGGGATACTCTCTCTCCTACGTTTTGCCTGAATACCACTAGGCCCTGGTTGTGGTTCAGAGCTTGTTTGTCTAACTACAAATTTGTCAAGAGACATTTGTTTTTCCCTTCGTTTTAACATTTGTCTGTAATGATGCATCACTTTAGCACCCATAATGTCCTTTTTCTTAGCCAGTATGGTGGATATCGTTGATTGAGATTTGTTGTACTGCCTAGCCAGTCCAACAACCCGCACACCATCTTCATATTTACGAATGATCTCTTGTTTCTGCTCGATGGCCATCCTTACATGGGATCTCATATGTTAAGCCTTACCACTGACTTTCCTGGGACTCATGGCATGATATATAATAATTACTTTAATGTTCAAAATGAAAAAAATCATCACAGAACTGAAATTTCTTATATGCGCGATCGTCACTAAGTGGGCAGCTGTAGTAAACTGAGGCAGGTCAGCCGCATGACCGGGAACCAGGAGCTCAGTCGACCCGAACATGTACCAACAAATATTGTAAGTCGACGACACCATCGGATGTCGAGTCGTATTTTTCTATTAAATTTTCATCGTAACTCGAAATTATCGTAAGTAGGGGCAATTGTAAGTCGAGGTGCCACTGTACAGCTGAGAGATTGAAATTAATGAAAACTTTTTAGAAGCATGTTAAAAAATATTAATATCTTTATTAATGTTTTTAAGATGTCAATTGAAAAATAACTCGATATAAAAAGAGTACTTTGTCTTATAAGCAGCAAGAACAGTGAACATGAAATTTTTAACTTAGTTAATATTATAAAACAAAAACATATATATGAAAAATGAGTTCCCTGTTGGATTATTTGTGGACCTGCGTAAGGCTTTTGACACTGTCAACCACCAAAACCTTCTTCTTAAATTACATCATTATGGAGTCAGAGGACACTCCCTGCAATACCTCAAATCTTACCTTACTGACAGGCTCCAGTATGTTTCTGTGAATAATTCAATTTCTCCCACCCTACCCATCAACATTGGTGTTCCTCAGGGCAGCATACTTGGCCCTCTCCTCTTTCTCATCTACATTAATGACCTTCCAAATGCCTCCCAACACCTCAAACTAATTCTATTTGCTGACGACACAACCTTCATTTACTCCAATCCTGACCCCCTTGCTCTAAATACCACAGTAAATACTGAGCTAAATAAAGTCCATCTTTGGCTAACTGCCAACAAACTCACCCTTAACATTGACAAAACTTTCTATATTCTGTTTGGCAATAAATCCTCTAATCAAATAAATCTCAAAATAAACAATACCCAAATTTGTAACAAATTAGATGGCAAATTCCTTGGCATTCTCATTGACCACAAGCTTAATTTCCAGGGATACATTCTAAATATATCAAAAAAGTTTCAAAACTGTTGGTATTTTTTCTAAGATCAGATATTATGTACCCCGCCCTGCCCTGGTGACTCTATTACTCCCTCATCTATCCCTATCTCAACTATGGTATTTGTGCTTGGGGTTCTACTACCCAAAATCATTTATGTCCTCTAATTACTCAACACAAAGCTGCTATCAGGACAATATCTCACTTTGGCCCCAGACATCACTCGGTACCCCTACTCAAATCTCTGAATATGTTGGATATTAAGTCACTGCACATTTTCTCTTGTGTATTATACATATATAAAACGCTGAACTGTAATGCCAATCCTGCCCTCAAAAGCTTCATTGAAGGTTGTAACAGAACCCATGAGCACCACACCAGAAATAAATACAGTTTTGATATTCCAAGAGTACGACTTAATGAAACTTGAAATGCTCTACAAATCAAGGGACCCAGAATGTGGAATGACCTTCCCAACCATGTTAAAGTCAGTACCTCTCTCAACCAGTTTAAGATAAAAACGAAGCTATACCTAATAAATTCCCTGTAACCTACCTTACCCCTCTATTGTCAATCCGTGTCTGTTTTTTTTTTAAACAACGCTGTTTGTCGACCTAATTGTATTTGTGCTGCTTTTTCAGCCATGTTCCCCCTTTTTTATCTCTATTTTTATTTGTTCTCAACACATTTTATTCTTTATACTCAATTAGTATTAAGATTTAGTCATTAATGTTTTTCATGCCCGAAACGCTTTGCGTAATAGTGGCTTTAGGCATTTTATGTACTAGCTCTATCTATAATTCCATCAATCTTTGTTAAATCTCTTGTATGTATGTACCTTACCTAAATAAACATTATTATTATTATTATTATTATTATTATTAAAAGAAAATTAGGTTATTTTACTCTTGGTGATACTACTGCATTCTCGCAACCATCCAGCTGGTCCCAAGCCGGCGTGAGATTTCTGAAATACCATATTGACCCTTGTTCGTAAAAAAAAAAAAAAAAATTGGCAGCAATGATATGCTTTGTATATTTATTTATTATGGGTTGGGGTTTAAAAAAAGAGGTAAGGGAGTGGCACTCGTGCAGCATACTGTACCAGCAAAATTTGATTGCAAGCCATTGTTGCCACATGTGCCAGTGGTTCACCACCCCTGGTCTGTTGCATGCAATTTATAAAATTGTATTTCATGTTTAACCCTTTGGGTGTGTATTTAGGCTTTGTTTAGCATAGAATTTTCATGATGGGGTAACCCCTTGTGGCTCCTAACTTCTAAATTGCATCAGCCATGGAGTTTAGTTTGGTCTACTGGGGACCAGACCTGGCCCCCTCAGAGGTGCAGGGATACTCTGCCACCTTGACATGGAAGAAACCCAGAAAGTCAGTGGACCAATACTGACCACTGCTGGGTTCAAAAGAGACCAAAGCCCCACAACCTCCAGCAGTGTAAACGAACAGTTGAATATCTGAAAACAAGCTTGAGCTTGGGGCATCCCACTCA